GAGAAAAAAAGGTGAGGGTCATCACATCATGAGAAAGACTGGAAGGCTTTGAAGATGGAACAGGCCTTTTAGTGAAGGAACACAGGCAATTTCCAATGGCTAAAAAGAGCAGGAAAATAGATTCTCCTTTAATACAGCCTGAAAGAAACACAACTCTACCAATACTTTGATTTTAGCCCACTGTAATCCATTTCATACTTCTATTCTCTAAAACTAAAACTAATACATTTATGTTGCAGTACTAATTTTGTGGTATTTATAATAACAGCTAGAAAAACTAATGCAGAGACCCTTTGTTAAGTCTTTCATTTCATAATGATCAGAGTAGATATTAATGAACTGAAACTAAAAATAATTAAAAGAATCAACTACTTGAAGAGCTGATTTTTGGATAGAGTAGAATTAATAGAAAAATTCTTACCCAAACTTACCAAAAGAAGAAAATTAAAAGAACCATATCAATGTATTTTGAAAGTAAACGTCAAAATCACCATGGGCACTGCCAGAAAACCATTAGCAACTACTGTAAAAATCCTACTATAACAAATTGGAGAATCTTGAAGAAATAGACCAATACCTAGATACAGATTAATTACCAAAACAGTCAAGAGAATAATCTAATAACAGGTAATGACATAAAATCAGTAAGAAAAATCTTGCAAATTAAGAAAAGTGCAGGACCCAGTGAATTTACTATTAAATTTTACAGGGTCAGAAGAAACTCTTTAATGAAATTCAAAGAGAAAGAGTACTTCTGAACATTATTATAATCTGGCATTACCCTGATTCTAAAATCAGCCAAAGACACAACTAAGACTACAGGCTAATCTCTTTAGTAACTACAAACACAAAAATTCTCAACAAGGTACCTGCAAACAGAATGCAGTAATTCATGGGAAAGATCATACAACATGACCGAGTAAGCGTCATCTGAAGGATAAAAGGATGAGTTAGCATACAAAATCAATAAATGTAATACACTGCATGAACAAAAGCCAGGAAAAATTGCATGATCATTTCTGTAGGTGCAGGAAAATATTTGACAATATCCAACACCTATTGTTGATAAAAACCCGGAAGAAAATATGATAAAAAGATATTATTTCAATCCTATAAGAGCCATTCATGACAAACTGATGGCCAACATCATGTTAAATTTGGAAAAACTGAAAGCTTGCTTTCTAAAATAAAGAACAAGAAAAATTTTGTCCATTATCATCACTCTTGTTTAATATAGTACTCAAATTTCAGCCAAAGCAATCAGGCAAGAGAAGGAAATAAGAGGGCTACATATGGGAAAGGAATGATAGGATCTTTTTGTTATTTTTGTTTGTTTGTTTGTTTGTTTGTTTGTTTTGAAGACAAGTTCTCACTGTGTAACCCAGGCTGGCCTCAATCTCTCAGTGATTCACCTGCCTCCTGAATATTGAGATTACAGCTGTGTCCCGTCACATCCAGCTTCAGATGAGATGATCTTTTATGTAGAAGGCCTCCAAAATTCCACCAAATTAATTCCTAGAGTTAATGGCTAAATTCAGCAATACAGTAGCATGTACAATATCAGCACACAAAAATTCACGGAGTACTTGTGCATCAAGAAAAAAATCAGGAAAGCGATACCATTCCTGATAGTATGAAGAAATATTATATATTTAGGAATTAACCTAACCAAAGGAATGAAAGATTTCTGTTGACACACTGTGTCAACTTGAGAAGTCTAGAAGCTTAATTAAGTGACTCAGCAGCTGTATGTTCTGGGGTATTGAGGAGAAACCATAATTGTTTTAGGATATTGTTCATTGTGTCAATTTGAGAAGGTCAGAAGTTGAACTAAGTGATTCAGCGGGAGGCAGGGTTCTTACTTTGTAATCCGCAGCAGCCTGTGCAAGAGGAGGGCATGCAGATGGTTGAGTGCTACACAAATAGAAAGTAGTTGGCGTACAATAAAAGGCAACTGAGGAGGGACTGCTGGTTCTCTGCAGGAGCTCCAGTCTTTGCCTTCAGCTTGGACATTGTCTCCTGGTTTCTGGCTCAGAATGTTCAGCTCCAACCTGGGACTCTTCAGCCTTCATCGTACTGCCTTTCAGCATGAATTCTTCAGCATCCCGTTACAGACCCATTGGCCTCCTGTTAGGTATTTGTAGGGCACCCTCTGCAGGCTCCCTCATCTGACTTTGAGTCTCACCACTGTAAGCCAATCTTGCAATTTCTTATACCTTCGTATATCTTATGTTATATCCATTTCTCTAGTAAACCCTAATACAATGTCGATAACAAAAACTATAGTATTCTGAAAAAGGAGGCTGAAAAGGACACCAGAATACAGAAGATATCGCCTGTTCCTGGATCGCAAGAACCAATATTGTTAAAATGACCAAAACTTATCTGCAGGTTTAATGTAATACCAATGAAAATACCAACCACATTTTTGCAGAACTGGAGAAAACAATTGTAAAATTATCATGGAACCAATAGAGACCTAGAGTAAAAGGAGACCTGGATAAAAAGAACAGAACAAGAGACATCAACATCCTAGACTTCAAGTTATATTACAAGCTGCAGTAATAAAGGTGGCATTGGCACAAAACAGACATGTGGATCAATGGAACAGAGCAGAGGATGCAGAAGCAATCCCATACATTCCTCTATTGGATCTTTGATAAGGGAGTCAAAAATATACACACTGAAGGAAAAGCAGCCTCTTTAACAAAAGGTGCTGTAGAAACTTGCTACATGCTGTGCAAAACACTGAATCTGGACCCATATCTTTTACCACGTACTGAACTAAAATAAAAATGGATCAAAGACCTAGATGATAAAAAAGAAACACTTGATTTGCTGAAAGATGGAATACGTACAACACTTGAAGACACGGGTGTAGGGACTTTCTGAACAGAATCTCAATTCAGGAATCAACAAATGGAATCATATCAAATTAAAAACTTCTCTACAGCAAAGGAAGCCATCAACAGAGTCAAGAGATGGCACATAGAATATTTTGTCAGCTATTCCTCTGATAAAGGACTAATATCCAGAATATATAAAGAACACAAATTTATTAGATCCCCCAAAATAAAAGACCCAATAAAAATGGGCAAATGAAATGAATAGATACTTTTTAGAAGAAAAAGTAGAAATTGTCAATAAATACATGAAAAAATGTTCACCACTTCTGATCACTAAATAAATGTAAAAGAAAACAACATTCAGATTGCACGTTACTCCTGAAAGAATGGATATTATCAAGAAATCAAGTAATAACAAATCCTGGCCAGACTGCAGGGAAAAAAGAATATTTCTTTTTGGGAAATGTAAACTAGCACAAACATTATAGAGCTTAGTATGGAGATTCCTGGAAACAATAGAAATAAAATAGAAATTCCATTTGACGAGATATTCCTTCTCTAGGTACCTTCCTGTCATAGTTCATGCCTGTGTCCCCCAGGCCTCATGAGTTTGCATTGTGCATCTGTGATTGGTTCATTGTGTAGTGCTTGGATTGATGATGTCAGTGCTCCACCCACAAAGGGGTGGAGCCAGGATGTGATGTAATGGCAGGAAGAAGGCATGTCTTGCTCTTTGCTGGTTCCTGTTTGCAGCTGCCATGAAAGGCTGCCCCGTCATGCCCTTGGAGCCAACTGAGTGTGGACTGAAACCTCCAAAAACTGTAAGAAATAAACCTTTCCTTTCCCAGCTTGGGCTTCAGGTATTTTTCCTCAGCAATGAGTAAAAAATAACTAATACACTTCCTAAAAGAACTAACGACATTATATTACTGTGATGCATACATAACAATGTTTATAGCAGCCTAATTCTTAGTAACTAAATTGTGAAAGAGGCCTATATGCCTATTGATTGATGAATGTATTAAAAAGTGTAGTATTTATTCACAATAGAGTACTACTTTGCTCTAAAGGAGAATAAACGAGTCATTTGTAAGAAAATGAATGCACCTCAAATTCATAATAGTAAGTGACGTACTTCAGACATACTAACTTAAATATCATATGATTTATTTTATAGGAGAAACACAAATTACTGTAAAAATAAATCAAAGAGTAAAAGATGCACAGTAGGAACGAGGAGATTGCTCTTTGGTAAATAGGAAGGAAACTAAGAGATACTGTATATGGAGAGAAAGGAAAATGCAAAAATATGGATCGATTACCCACAAGGAATGTACTCATTATGTACCACAAACATGTACCTATAAAAAGATTGTTAATTATAGTCAAAGAATTTTATGTGAAAATTAATCATAGTTCAAAAGCTGTTAATAGATGTAAATGACATAGCAATAGAAGTTTTGTGTATAATTTAAAAAGCTTTGCTTTCCAAGTAATAAATGTAACCACCTCCTCTTTTAGGATGAGTAATGTATGTTTTCTCTTATTACTTTTAACTTTCCAACATTTCCATGATGCTAAACATAGAGATTTTGTTATGGTGGTTATTATCCATATTTAGCAAACCTATATGCTGGAATTTATCCCAGAGAAATACATATATCTTTAAGAGCTTGCCACAAGGATTTATAGTGTAGAAAAATCGGTAACAAGTTGAATTTTTATACATATAGCCAGGCAACTTATGAGTCTCTCCAATGGAATATTTTGCAGTTATGGAAAGACTTACTGTGACACTGGGGACCAGAGCAAACATTCATGACATCATTACCCTTAAAAGAGAAGAAAAATGGTGCCTATGAAACCTGATGCTAATTATGATTAAAAATCAAACTTAAAAATCATTATTCCTCTGCCTGGCAAACGCAAGGTCCTGAGTTCAAATCTCATAACCAAAAAAATCATTACTCTGCGTGTGGATATGTTTGTAAGTATTTGCAAAATTGCCCTGGAATGAACACAAAAATTAACTTTATTGATTATTTTTGGTGATAATTGTAGACTTGAGGCCAGGTCTGTGTTCAGATGGGGAGGGAGAGTTTATGGTAGAGTAGATTGTTTTAGACTGCTATATTTCATTTGTTTAAGACTTTAAAAAATATGGAACACTTTATGAATTTGCATATTATCCTTGTGTAGTGACCATGTTAATATTCTCTGTATCATTCCAATTTTAGTGTTTATGCTGCTGAAGCAAGCATTATTTGAGATTTTAAAAAGTTACTTTAAGTATACCTACTATAAATTAACATTGTAATAGCTCAAATAAAATTTTATTTGTGAGCATCTAAAGTTATGATCAGATATACAGCAACGTCAATTAGTTGTTAATTATTTATGGGCCAAGAGAGATAATTATACATTTAATTTTCTTATATGAATGTCTCTGCTTTTCCACATGTTTGGGAATAGGAAAAAAATTAAAACTGACACAGTATGTATGAATGAGGAGTAAAGAATCTCCATATATTATTTTAAAATATTAGTTTATAGTTGAGAAAAAAATTCTAATTTTGACTAAAAAAAAATCAAATAGTAGTTTCTCTTCCACCTGATGGAGCATGTATAGTATTTGGGAAAGTTAATTTATATGAACTTGACACTTAATAAACAAAAATTATTTTATTAATAATTTAATAGGCTAAATGTCTTCTTCCTTTTTTAATGGTACTTCTATACATTATGACAGAGAACAAATCATGCACATATTAAAATCCAACCATAGGCCTGGAAAATAATCTATACTTTAATTGAATGTACGTGGTTAAATCCCATAAGATGAACAGAAGTTTACTCTATTTCTATCATAAGTCCCTCAGCCCTTTGAAGTTGGAGACTGAAATGTATTTTATATACACATGACAGATGTGACCCGAGAAACTCCACTAAATTTTTGTATATTTCTGAATTCATTCCCCTACTCCCCAGAGCGATTTCTTACAGGTTTGTATTTTGTTTTTTCTTTTGAGAAGCTGATGTTCTGCATACAAAAAAGAGAAATCACTGTAATCACAGAACTGGCATCAAAGAATTTCTAAAGATGGCTTGAAATAAAGCAATCTAATTACAAAGCTTGTTCCCTAATCCCTCCTGATGTGCTCCGGTCATTACATAGACCACAGACCTACCGAAAAAAGATGACAGAACCATTTTCTTTGCCCCAGAAGAGCCTTGAGTTGATTTAAATGTTTGGATGTGCTAGTATTACTCACCTTCCCTACCTGTACCTCAATCCCCGATGAACTGGTGTGAACTAACACTGGCTCCCTTCCTGAGACTGCAAAAAGGAACAACCCAACCTGACCGAATAACGCATTGCAAATGTCAAAATACATTTCAGCTCAGAATGATATTTCTTTCTCAGAAATCTAATGAGAAAACTGTTCAAAAGACAGAGTTCGGGTTTTCTGGTTCCGCATTTAATTAACTCAATCTGACTTTTATTATGCTTCGTATTATGTGTTTCCCTGTTCAGTAAACAAACAGGAGAAAATTAAACCAGGGTAACTGCCAAGCAGCAGTAAATTTAATTGAAAAATAATGAATTGCCATGAGGTACCATAGGGTTTTGCTCAGATAAACTCATTTTTCCTGGAAAGTTTCCACTTGCATTTGTCACAACTTGATGTATAAAAGAAATGAAAGAACTAAAATACAGTTATTGCTGTAGATGTGGAAGAGTGGAATGGCCTTGGTCAGTAATTCACAGGCTGATTTCTAGGACTTTCAACAGGTCGAAGGAGTGTGCTCCGGAGGCACAGAGCTGGCTGATTCCGCCCTCCAGGTCAGCAGCAACTGAGCCCTGTTGACTTAGGCAAGGGGCAACTCATCGTGGAAGAAAGAAGGACCCTGCAAATAAAGAGAACATGATTTAGGGGGAAAGGAACCTCCAAACCAAAAAGGGATACTCCTAAATAACTCCATGTGGTGTGCCTAGTAACTGTTCAAATTTGATATGAAGCAAAGGTATTTCTAAACACTTGGGGATTTGTTTTCTTTACTTGGTATATTTTCCTGATGTCTAAGCACTCTTCTAATGATCCTCTCTCTGAGTTTTTGTTCAGGCAGGAAAAGGTTTGAATTATATCGGGAAAGTAGAGGGCCTCTCTGAGTGATGGGAAAGCAGCTCCATCTGGTTCTCTGTCTTGCAGAAGGGAGGCAGGTGTCTGCTTATCTGATTGCAGTCTGTTTTATAAGTTCATGTACTGCAAGTGAAAAAAACAAGCTCCCATGTGGTCCTCCAAATCTCTTTGAGTAGGAGAGAACCACTGGATTTTAGGGAAATTTAAGTTTCCCTCTTAAGCTCTTGCTATTGATGAGGATAATAGTTAAGACTCCCATATTTTCAGTAATAACTTCTACAAATGGATGAGGACGTTTTAGACTTCTCTCAGAGGCTATTTCAAATAAAAAACCTACTATTTGGTGTTAGATACTAGTTTGGAGTCTCTGTCTATCTAGTATTGGTTTAGTAGAACTTAGATAATCACTAATTCACTCAGTAGATATGTTCCAGGGCCTAACTATGTGTCTACTACTACTGTAGGTACGGGGACCAAATCAGGAAGCTAAAGTTAAAATAAATTTAAAAGCAAGACCAAAGAAATCTTGACTTTGTGGAAATTCTATCTTCCAAGAGAAAGACAGACAAGCGGTGTAAGTGAATATATATCATAGAATCATGCTAATGAGAGATACACCAAATTCCAGAAGTTGGTAAGTCGATATGGTAGATTTCACTGTGTAGCATTTATGAAAAGAATGCTTTCTAGTCCCGGCAGAGAGAACAGCTTGCTGCATCCCAGGAAGAGAATGGACCACAGTGGAAGAAATGCATTGAAGGAAACAGAGGATGATTTTAAAAAGGTGATAGCTGGTAATTGGGGCGGAATCTTTCAAAGCTGCTGCTGTGAGGATTCTAGAGGCCCTCAAACAGAAGCGACAAGATACTACTCTGGCATTGATAGGGTGGAAGATAGAACACAGTGCGGATGAAGGAGGTGCAGACCAAGGAGGCCTTGCTGCAAGGTTATAAGGAGTTACAGTGATTTGGACCAGTGAGCTCCACAATAATGTAACCACTCAGCCATTTTTAGCATCTGAACAACGAGGAAGTGGAAACTTGTTCTGGGAGCGTTGGAATCACATGTGGAAAGTACTTGCACATATCAGGGACCAGTACACGTCCATTCTTTTCCGTTCCAGAATTTCTCACCTAAATTCTGGGGCACTTGGAGGCTTTGAGGCTATCATTTATACTATATATATATATAAAAAGTTTTAAAAAACAGTCGATTAGCACATGTATGCCTTGGTATTATATTGTAAGACAGAATGAGAGTGGTAGCACCAGTCTGCACTCCCACCAGCAGTGGAGAAGGGCTCCTTTTCCCCCAAAGCTCCTCCAGCGTTTGTTATTGGTTGATTTATTGATGGCAGCCATTCTTCCTGGAGTGAGATGGAATCTCAGTGCTGTTTTAATTTGCATCTCTCAAATGACCAATGATGTTGAGCATTTTTTCATACATTTATTTGCTTCTTCACCTGAGAAGTTGTTAATGATCTCAGATGCCCATTTTCAGGTTGGGTCTTTGAATTTAGTGTTTGATTTTTTTTTTTCAATTTTACACATTCTAGATATAAGTTCTTTGTCTGAGGGACAACTGGATAATTTTTTTTCCACTCTGTGGGTTGTTTTTCCATTATGTTGGTGATTTCTTTTAATGTGCAAAAGCTTTTAGTAAGATGAGATCCCAGTTGTTGATTCTTTGAATTATTCCTGTGTGGTCTTGATTTTGTTCATGAACTCTCTGCCTACATCTATATCTTCAAGGTTTCTATCTACTTTCTCTTCCAAGAGATTTAGGTTTGAAATCAGTATGGAGATTCCTCAAAAAATTGGATTAGAGGTCCCATTTGCTATTCCCCTCCTGGGTATCTTCCCAGAAAAATTAAAAACATCATACTACAGTGATAAATGTGCATCCATGTTTATAGTAGCACAATTCATAAAAGCTAAATCTTGGAAGCAACTCAATATTCATCCATTGAGGAATGGATAAAAAGAGCTATGTTCTTTTTATACAGTGGAGTACTCTTCAGCTACAAAGAAGGATAAACTTGAGACTTCTATAGGTAAATGGGTGCAACTAGAGACCATACTCATAAGTGAAATAGACTGAACTCACATGTTTTAAGTATCATATTGTCTCCTTGAGTGAGGAACTAAAATAGTAAATAAGATATCAAATGCACAGTACATATTATGAAATGAGAAGAAATTGCTAAAAATGGAAAAAGAAACTAGGATGGGTAAAAGGGGAAAAAGAAGGAAGGGAAAAGAAAAAAAATTCAAGATATTTATCCTATTAGTTTCTCTTAGTTCACTGAAAAGAAAGGTTTCTGCTAATATTGTCTGGAGAATTTCGTAAGCCCATATCTGGTGTGCTGATGAAGTATTCTGAAGATAACAATGCTCAACCTATTAACTACTGTTATTCTCAAAAAAGTGCAAAATCAGTGTAAAACCGTCCCATTTCCTGCTTCCTGTCCTGACGTGAGATCACTCTCACACGTGTTCCTGTCATTATAATCCATACCTACGCAAAGCCCAGAAAGAGAACTGCCTCCAACATTGTCCGATGCATAAACCTGTATTCTTTATAAAATAAACATTTAAAAAACATGAGAAATGCAATAGTATGAGCATCTACTAACAAACTTCTCCATGGCCACTCCATTAATGTGATCACCCAGCAGACCTGCAAAGCCTGCTCCTGGCTGCTGCCTTTGGGTGGGTGGTGGAGGGAGGCCCTGGGGTATCACTCCATGGCACTGTGGCCTGCGCCACACACTAAATCGAACCTTTCCTCCTTTAAGTGGTGGGTGGCGGGTATTGGGTCTCAGCTGATTAGGAGAATCAGAAAGTTGAAAAGAGAGGAGTATTAAAGATCTCAAAAGGAATCTCTAATTTTTCTCTTCCTCTCTCTTTCTCTCCTCTTCCTGCTTCTTCTCTCCCTCCTCTTGTGAATGATTCCTCTTCTCCTCCTTCCTCTCTTCCTTATCCTCCTGTTTTCCCTCCCTTCTTCCCTTTCCTCCTCCCCATCCTCTTCCTTTTCCGTGTCTCTCTCCCTCTCTGTGTCTCTGTTTTTCTCTTCCATTCTCCTCTCTCTGTCTCTCAGCAACAGTTAACTCTGGGTGA